CTGGTGTCTTCATGTCTGATCTTCTCCCAGACTGAATCCTAATTGGGGAGCGTCAGAAACTCTCAAATGTTGCTAACATGTTAGGCCAACAATTCTGGTAATATGCACTAAAAGATGCTATCTGCTAACCTGAAGCCAAACCATAAGATATTGTCGTAATTGTGCATAATCCATGCCAACTGCCTAAGGTATTAGAATGATACCATATGATAAAAAGCATTGCTATTTAGGGACTATCTTCCCACGTTCACTGTTAAATTCTAATAGACTCAGAACTCCCCCATTCACTCCAATTTGGATCCTAAGTGAAGTGTCAGTATAAGCACCATCTGGAAATTCCCAGTCTTCAGTTTGGTTGGTTCCTGGAACTCCAATCTCAACATTTCTGGAAAACAACTTCAACTCCTCCTCCTCCTCCTCCTCCTCCTCCTCCTTTTTATAGGTTACAGAAGAAGGCAATCAGAACCTATTTTCTGTACAGGCAGGATAGGCCCTCTAGGAACTGTTGATATTTTATAAGCCTTTTTCAATCTCAACATTTCTGCAAAACATCTTCCTCTTTTTTTGTAATTCTTTTATTGTATTATAGGATACAAGTAATACAGATATTAGCTGGATACAGCAGTATTTGTACAATGAAAACTAGAAATTGTTAACACTATAACTTAAGCCTTTAAAGAGAAGGAAAAGTTAATATCAATGTTAACTATAATTCTGAGATGTTAATGAACATAAAAGTGCTTGAATTCCAGTTCAAAAGTGCTTGAATTCATACTTAAAGCTAAGTATGGCATTGATAGACAATTGTGAAAACTGACATTTTTGACCCACACTGCAGATGCCACTGGGAGAACATGTCAGAAAAAAGAGGTTGCCAGGCTATGTTCATGCCATGGTTAGATGCAAGTGTGGAAGGCCTCCCTGATGTAAACTCAGCATTTCAAATGAGGCCACCAGCTCCCACAAATTGGACATTCCAGGTAAAGTGAAGCAAAATAAAATTGGGTCCTATCATTCAGTAAAAGGCTTTAACAGGAGACATATTTTTTCCTCCTCTGTAGCTGTATCATTCATACTTAGAACTATTTAATTTATCTATTTAATGTAATTTAACTATTTAGTTTTATCACTGGTAAACAAAAATGTATAATCTCAGAAGAACAGGAGAATCAAAAACTCCTGGATTAAGATGTAATGGTGAAAAAAGTCCACCTTGACTTGGTAATGTAAAAACCAAAATTCTAGGAATGTGAGCTTTCAAAACCTAGAAAGATACAAATAACACTGATCCTTATTGCCCTTTATGTATGATGGCCCAGTTCAATGCAGAACACTGCCCTTTTGTCCAATGACAGGAAAAAAATATATTTCAAATTGCCCCAAACAGAATTACACGTTTTCTTTCCCAGAAATGATGTTATTTGAGTTTGAAGGTTGTTTTAGATATACTGTTGTTGCTATAGACACCCAATCTAGGGTCACGTTTGTGCAATCACAGAGCTCCTTTTCCAACAATACTCCTATTGTCTGGCTGAATTATTCATTAATACAGGTGCAACTTTTCATTTACAGAACCTGTTCACTCTACAGTGCCAGAAAGCAGAGTAGCTTACAATCTTTTGGTTGTGTTCTTCTTGAGTGACCTGACACCTTACATGTAAGTCTTGGGGCTACATGAATTCCGAGGCAAAATATTGAGAATTGGGAACTATGGTTCCAAAAGCCTTGAGGAGATGCCAAGGAAAATCTATAGTTGACATTATTGATTGCTAAGGATGGATGTCTTGTCTCATCATTTCCCTACTACTGTAGACTACTGCAATGCACTCTACATGAGTCTGCATTTGAAGACTACTCAGAAACTGCAATTAGTCTAAAATGATGCAGTCCAGTGGTTGGAGGATGATAACTGCCAAGACCATGCTACACCTGTGCCTTAAGTCCTGCAATGGTTGCCAGTAAGTTTCTGGGTGCAATTCAGAATGATGGCTTTAACCCATAAGGGAAGATACCCAGGTCCCTGCAGGACTGCCTTCATCTACCTGAATTGGCCCATCTGGTATGTTCCCCTTGGGAAAGGTGTCTGATTACACCCCCCATGCATGAGAGAAGAACAAAGACCAGGAAGTTGGTGTTTCTCAACTTCAGCAGCTTTAAGATGGGTGGACTTCAACTTCCAGACTTCTGGGAGTTGAAGTCCACACATCTTACAGCTGCTCTAAACCACTACTTAGTCACTGCTCTGGTCACCTCCCCTTGGAATTACGGCTTGTATCATCCCTCTTAATGTTCCAGAAACCACTTAAGATGGATCTCCTCTATACAACATTTAATCAATGAATTACTCCTGTTTTTAATTTCAGTTTAACAGTTCTGTTCCGTGTTGGCCTTAAATTATTATTTTATTATTCAATATTGTTTTTGCTATTCAATATTATTTTTGAATAATACTATTCAATATTATTTTTATTATTCAATATTGTTTACCATTTTGATTTGAATGTTGTTTACTGTGGACGTTTTAACCAGTTGTGTTTGAGTAGATGGCTATAAATCTCTATGACTTGTTATGGAATATATATATATTCTATATATTTGTAGAATAAATAAATACATTGGTTTATGTGATTACTGGATTAATCCATCTTCTGGGTTTGCCCAATGCTCCGAATCATAAACTAATGAAGGGTTGGGTTATTTATTTATTTAATTGGTTTCTATATGGTTTATAAATATGTACATAGTATTTATATACAGTATTAGGGCATGTCAAGCTATAAAAGGCAAGGTGAGCTGTAATCAAGTTCATTACGCTGGTGTATAATAGCCGTGTGGTCTTTATCTAAACCTTTAGTATAATATATACAAAACCAGTGTAAGTTAGAGGAATGGTTTCTGAATAAAAGTCATTTTGCACCCATTGGACTAAAAATTCCAGAAGAGGTGGGGAGAGCCAAGACAAATATTAGAGAAAGTATTAACAGTACTGCATACAAATTTATTGTACTATATTTTGACCCCTTAATACTCATCTTTTCCACCTGAGGCTGCCGATGAATGAATAAAATTCATTCTTTAATGAAGAATTATTTCATTATTAAGGAAAACATGTAGCACTTTTGCAATTTGCTTTGAAAGCTTACTTAATGGAAAAGCTATATTTGTTAAATAAATAAATCATCCTGATTTATTTTTGCTTTTAAATAAATAGTTTTTTTGTTAAATAAATTATTGTTAAATAAATAGATCATCCTGAGACGTTATGGATGCCTGAGGAAATTCATGAAGGTGATTTAACTACTCCGTGATGGAATGACAGGACAGGTTGTTTACAACGGTGATACATCAGCTGCATTTGCCACTTCCAATGGGGTAAAGCAGGTTGTGTGTTAGCCCCAGTCCTGTTCAATCTGTTCTTCGCTTGCATATCGTCACGTGCTGTTCAGGGTTTGAAGGAGGGAGTGTACATCAGGTAGCGATTGGACGGCTCTCTCTTTGGTCTTCACCACTTGAACGCACGAAGTGCTTCCATACAGTCATTCAAGAAACCCTCTTTGCTGATGACTGTACTTCTCAGTGATCTACAGTTAATACTGAACAAATTCTCAGATGCTGTTCTGCTCTTTGGCCTGACTATCAGCCTGAACAAGACTGAAGTACTTTACCAGCCCGTGCCAAATACCAACCTCGTAGAACCAAAAATCACTGTTGATGACACCCAGCTGACAAATGTAAACAGCTTCAAATACTTGGGAAGTATCACCTCGAGCGATGGATCTTTGGACAAAAAAATTGACTCCAGGATCAGCAAGGCCAGCCAGGCACTGGGGAGGCTGTGTAACAGACTGTTCAATCAACACAACATCCTTATCTCCCCAAAGCTGAAAATCTACAGAGCTGCGCTTATCTCTTCTCTCCTATATGGATGTGAGTCCTGTACTCTGTACCGAAGACATGTCAAACTGGAGAAATTTCACATGCGTGCTCTTCGCTCCATACTCTGCATTCGTTGGCAAGACCGTGTCTCCAACCTGGAGGTCTTGAATGACACGAGTCCACCAGCACTGAGTCCTTGATTATTAGAGCCCAGATGCAATGGGTGGGACATGTCAGAATGGATGACCACCGTATGCCTCGCCAGTTGCTCTATAGTGGACTGGTGTCTGGGAAGAGACCTTGAGGTCATCCATGCAAGCGCCACAAAGATGCTGTGAAGGAAACCCTACGCCACCATGACACCCAGCCAAGGGAACTAGAAGCTGCGGCTGCTGAGAGAACCCGCTGGTGGCCCTGTGCTATGAAGCCTCCACCAGCTTTGAAGACAGGCGCCGCCAAAAACTGATAGAAAACTGTGAGCGGCGTCACAGAATAACCCCCCAGTTACTAGAATAATGGACGCCCCCCATTGTGCTAGACTCTGCGCTTCCAGACTAGGACTGCAGAGATACCTGCTGTCCACAGATGAGCTGCACAACAGTGTGTCTTCTTTGAACCCGAAGGACTACCATATAAATCCAGGCTCTTTATTTACTAACAAACCAAGTGGCCCTCAGATGTATATAATTTATAATGTATGATTTCATATAAAGGTATAGCAGAGAAGCTTCCAGTGATGTTGGGTTTCACATAGGTGGGTGTCACTGTTTGGGTGTATATGGTTCTTGCATATATTTGCGCTCTTTTACTTCTCCTCCCTGAGAAACTGCACGTTTGAATTCTGACAGACACGGAAGTCAACGTCACCCTCGTTGGGACTGGTGGAAGCCACACCCCGAAAGCCCCGAGTACGCATGCGCAATTCGTTTTGCTAATTTTTTTTTCCCCAGCGGGGAGCCTGACGTCACTAGGTGTAAAACGGCGGAGACGAAGGTGCGCTTGCGCATCTCTTCCCTATGCCCTTTGTAACCCGCGCCTGTGTCCTGGGGGGGGGGAGGAGCTGCAGGTCTACACATGCGCACTACCTCTTCATTGTAAAACGGGCTCGTTCTCTCTAGGTGACGTCATGTGGAAGATGACCTGAATGTATGGCGTGATACGTCATGACGCTAGCCTCCGGTCTCTGCCCGGACCCAGGTGCGTTGTCTATGGCGCGTTAGTTCCCCTAGAGCGTCCCGTATCCTTCCGGAGGTGGCCCCGCCTTTGGGGCGGGGAGGAAGACTGGTTTTGGCGGGAATTGGAAGGTAAGGGGCGCGCATGAGGGGGAACCCGCGTCTGTTTTGCAAATGCTTCGCACGAAGTGGCTGGGGACGATGGGCCCCGGGATTTTTTCTTCCTCGCAGGCACTTTAACGAGAAATGGCCCCACCGCTGTGGACTCGGCCACTCTCTGTCTCTGGGCCTGCTCTTCGCTTTGGGCCCGCCCGCCCTTCTGTTCTTCCAGAGAAGTTGGGCCCCAGAGCGGAGAATGTGGAGGCGCCTTTGGAGCAGGACGGGTTCACACGACATGATACACTTGGCTTCACGGCGGAATGCCTCAAGGCAGGAGCTCTGCGAAGGCTCAGTGCGGGGGAGGGCTGGTTCACACGAGTGGTTAGGAGAAAGGCCACGAGGTGCTCAACCCCACTGGGACCTCGATTCGCCTGTTGTGTGAACAGGGCCTTCCACTAGTCGTTAGGAACAGAGGTGGGAGAGCCTGAGACACGTTTGTTCTGTTTGGGGGCTTCCGAGAGACATGGGCAGAGATCAGGAGGAGTCTGGTAGCCCCTTTTCTGACTGACTGTGTGAGCTGCTCGGGTTTGCAAGTGTAGGTGATTGCCCAAGGTGACATCACTCGCTCAGCTCTTACTCCCTGAAGTACCCCCCGTTGCAGATCTCAAGTGACCATCTTGGAAAAAGGACACTTCAACAGCACAAATGAGTGAGAGATTGCTGAACTCACGTAACCAGCAGATTTCAGGCAATCTCAAAAAGATTTCAACAAACATAATGGATCTTTAACATGTTTCAATTGTTCATGGATAAGGTGCTCCTGGTCTGTCTCACATGTAAACTGCATCTGCCTAAGCAACCTGTCTTCTCCTTCTTCCTCCCACTTCTTCCCCATTTAAATCCTACATGAGTTTAGCCACTCTGTGCATCTGATGCAGTGAGCTACAGCTCACAAAAGCTGATGCCTGTTAATAAAATTTGTTACAGTAGTCAGTAAAGGTGCTACTAGACTTTTCCTGATTTTTATCTACTGTAGACTAACATGGGTCTCCTACTAAGTACCTGGACAGAGTGAGAGCAAGTTGGCTGAACTACATATATCTGGTTTGATCCTTTGTGGATTTTCCTTTTTTAAATGTTCTCAGGTTTGTGTGTGAGCGTACTTGCTTATCAAATGCATGGCCTCCTGTTGGTCCCTAAATGTGTGTGAGAATATATAATACTTGTGCTTCTGATCTCTGTTGCTGGAAAATAAATGTGATTCCCCAATGTCTCATTTAGATAGTTGGTGATAATACACTGAAGGTAAAATGGAACCATTGAGTTATAGGAGGAGTTGCAGTACTATAATTTTTCAAAGGCAGACATTAACACACATCTAATCCTTTTCCATTTCTCTCCATTACAGGCTGTTAGGGGAAAAAAACAACAATGCAGGCATTTCTGAAAGGTCCAGTCAATGCTAAACCTCTGTCTACTAAAGAACGGGGAGTTGCTGCGACTGCGGGATGCAGTGGGGAGAGCAAGAAGCTCAGACCCATCCCTTGGGTGGAAAAATAGTAAGCGTTGTGCTGTGGTTTGGGATCTGAGTAATGTAATTGCTGAGGATGAATGCACAGATTGGAACTGCTGGGGAGTGAGGATGGCTTGTCCTGGAGGTGTTTCAAATTAGCTTTATATTTGTAACCGCTAGATGTCTCTGCTTTTTCTGTGCCTCTCCTTGGGTTAATCTTCTGATGCATTTAATTGGACTGCATATCAATAAGTATCTTCATGCTAGCCCAAAGTAATTTTGGTCCGTGTTTGTACTGTCAGGGAAGTTGCTTGTAGAAGATTGTAGAGACTAGTTTGAGGAAAATGAGAGCCTGCAATCATCTGTCAGTTGCTGCACTGCTGTGGTGCTTTGTATGCATTTATTTCTAATGTTACATTCATCACAGAAATAGTCTTTCAACAGAAAATATAAATAAGTCCTGAAACAGCCAGTACAATGTTCTGGTTCACTCCACTACGTTGTCTAATAGGAATACCATAGTTCCTTAAACATCTTGGCAGTCTTTTGTATTGAGTTTTTTAAAACCAGTTTAGACTCTTGCATTATTTCATTCATTGCCTGAAATAACATTACCTTATATGCTCACTGGACCACCTAAGGAGATTGGAAGAGATTATATGGAAGCTCAGTCAGTACTGAAGTTAATCCTATATGTGATGATATAGAGACTAACCCACTCCCCCCATCAGGCAATATTTTGCTGATATCTGATTTTTCTATAATCTGAATGATAAATGATATGCTTAGGTGTAACTGTTGACAGGTGACTCTGTTACTATAACACAATAGCCATATGTTTGTACTATTTTGCATTTTTTCTCTGAGTAATGCATAATTGATTGCCTTTGCCTTATTAAGACCATTAATGGCTGGAACTCAGTTCCCATGAATGTGGCAGCTGCATGCTCAGAATTCTAAACAATAAAAGAGGAGCAAAGCTCTTTGATCTAAGGAAGTAATGAAAATACTGTAACCATAATGCTCCTTTTGATTTTTAAAGAGTAATTAGTACACATTTAATGTTTTCTTCATTTTTAAACATCTAGCCGTCCAAAATGCATGGATGAAGTTGCGTTTCAAGAGGAAGTTGTTGCAGTACTGAAGAAATCCTTACAGGGAGTTGATGTGAGTGCTGTAGTCTTTAAAGAATTATTTCATATAAAAATTGAATGAAAATGGAAAGAATATGTACTACTGCCAGCTCTTTATTAGCTTACAAAATAATATCAAAATACAAGTATACCCTTAACAGTTGAAAGATGCTTATTGTGAGTAAGGGAGCCAATTTCCTGAATATTAAAACAGCAATATCATGTTTTTATGATAGTTACACTGCCATTCATATTGCATGTGTCATTTAATTGCACTTCGTAAAAGCCTGGTTTATGTATTGCAAGGTATTAAAAGTTGCAACAGCTAAATTTCTAAATATGCTTTGTAATCTACTTTATTGGAGTGGCTTTTAACTTCTGCTGTTAAAGATGTCTTGTATCCTTCTTAATTCCCCTTTGGTCAGACTCCATCTTAAGTATTCTTACTAGTTCTGGGCACCAGGACACAGAACAATTTATTTAAATTACAGGAAGGCGAATTGTGAGTGAATGTTAGAAAAAACTTTGAAAGAGGAAGGGCAATCAATTATCCAGCAAGGTGGTGGTCTCGATCATTTGGTATGTGCAGGCAGAGGCTGGACAACGATCTGTCAGAGATACTTTAATTTGGATCCTACACTGAACAGGGGGGTTGTCTCACTGGCTTAAATGGCTTCTTTTAGTGTTACAATTCTGTCAGTTAGGAAGATGTATTTCTTATATGAACCAGCATTCCCAAGAAGTGAAGGAAAACTTTGAAAAATGCTTTGGAATATACCAGTGTTAGTCAACCGTGGCAACTTGAAGATGTGTGGACTTCAGCTCCCAGAATTCCCTGGCCAGCATGCTGCCCAGGGAATTCTGGGAATTGAAGTCCACACATCTTTAAGCTGCCAAGGTTAAGAAACACTGGAATATACATTTGTGGTTCTTATATCACTCTAAGCTGTTTCACACACACACTGTTTTATTTTATTTATTAAATTTATATGCCGCCCATCACCCCCAGAAGGTAACTCTGGGCAGCTTACAATTAAAATCCAAAACAGTAAAAGCAATAAAATATTAATATCCATTTTAAAATAACTAATACTGTATTAAGCCATAAGTCATGCCTTACACATTGCAGTGATTGTGTCAGGTTTAGCCCAAAGAACTCCAAGAGACAATGCAAATTCAGATCTGCTGTGTTTATTAGCTACAACCTCTAGAAAGAATCTCCCCAGACTGAACCCTAGCTCCCAGGCTAGCCCGTCACAACACCGTGAATTCCTCAAGGAGGTGCCAGCCTCATCCTCTTGCACTTCCCACGCTCTTGTGGTGAACTAAGAACGTGCTTATCTCCCTGAGCCTGGCCTTCATAATTCCATTCCATCACAGATTGAGTACATACAACACATTAGACTGAAGCCAAACAAACTACACTGCAGCCTGGTTCATCAGGAGTAAAGATACAGGTAGTCCTGCCTACCAACGGTAATTGGAACCAGGAACTCCGTCACTGAGCAATGCGGTTGTAAGGCACAACATCACGTGACTGCGCCAACTTACAACAGCAGTTCCGCCAGTCCCAATTGCCATTGTTAGGTGAATCCTGTGTGGTCACACACTTGCCATTTGCAACCTCCTGCCAGCTTCCCCATTGACTTTGTTTGTCGGGAGCCAGCAGTGAAGGTTGCAAATGGTGATCATGTGACTACGGGACACTGTGACATCATAATTGTGAGCCAGTTGCTGAGCACTCAAATTGCGAACACATGACGTGGGGATACTGCAGCGGCCACGAACCTGTTGTTAAGTACCCCTCATTCAGCACCATCATAACTTCAAACAATTGCTGAACGAGTGGACATTAAGCGAGGAGTACCTGTACTGTTTTTATTCTAAGTTCTTTCTTACTACTTGTTCTTTACATAGTTACTTAAAAGAGTAGTTGTAAATTATGTATGTCAATAATCTAAACAAATGCTGTTTCTTCTCTTTATAATTTGATTCCTTGTACAAAGGAAGCTGACTGGCTGGTCTATTTTGGGGCTGCTATTTTAGATACTTATAAGATTGGATTTAATAGTAAATATTACTACATTTGCTACCTAAATGGGAACAACATGTATTCATGTTATACATAGGTTTTATCTTTTATTTTTCTGTAACTAAGCAAATAATATTTAGGAATATTACTTATTTGAAAAAAGATCTTATTGGCTGAAATTAAAAAAACTAAGCAACTTGCTCTGCATGTTGAAGGATTTCTGGTTCCTGTATCTCCTAGAAAATACTAGTTTAAGGTTTTTTGTTTTTGTCTACTCAAGATACAGTATAGGTATCTGCTCAAGGAAAGAACTAGTAAACGCTTACCTACAGTAGCCATTTGAGTCCTGGCCATTGTCTTGAACGCCTTGCTTGGAATATGCAGATATGTTTGAATAACTGCATCTCTATCTTGTTGGAATATGTTTTCTATGTAGGTTCCATAGTTCTAACATAGTTTCATCATGAGTTTACCCTGAACTGTAATTTGTAAATTTCCATGTAACTCCAACCCTTTCAGGATCTGAATAAGCTGGCTGCAGGTATATTAATTTCATTGCTGGAAAGAGTGAAATACCACGGGTTGGTCATATTACAGCCCTGCTAAAAATACAGCCATTAAGGCTGCAATTCTTTTATACATTTGCCTGGAATTAAGTTCTGTTAAACCCACTGGGGCCGCCTTTTCAGGGAGGCTAGAACATAGTTTGTTGAGTATTAATTGTTTAAGAATTTAACTATGATGCCCAAATACCTGATGGTAATATATTGAGCGTATTTCAGTGGGATTAGTATTATGTAGTCTCCCTTACATTTTATAGTAGAAAGCAGTGGGATAGCATGTTATTTAATTGTTATGTTTTCATCCACTTGCTATGAAACAAAATTTCAGATAAAATATTCAGTATATTCTCACAAGTACTGATTCAAAGTCAGCAGCAATGCAAATTTCTGCAGATCTGCCAGAAAGTTTGAACTCACTGATAATAAATTCAGGTGAGTTTGTGCACAATATCGGATTGCAACTCCTATGAAATAACGTAAGGCTTGTAATTGAACGAGAAAGCTCCTTCTTAGCCATTATACTTCTATAAGCTCCATCTTCAGCAGGCTACCTGAATATTTAAAAACATCTTGCTGTCAGTGGAGTAAGGATTTTCTGAACATGTTAATTTTAGTGATTCACAGTGTGATTATTTGGGTAATTAATATAATTTGAATCCTGTTGATTATGAGTCATTTATCTAGTAAAGCATTAATATTTAAATATATTTGATTAATCAGTTGGCAAAATCATTTTCTGACCAATCCAGTTTTACTATGTCAATCTGTAATATTTTAAAAATTAGCATTTGCTACTACTATTCCCTGTTTTAGTGAAGACTGCAAGATTTAAAAAGAAGCCTGAAGCATAAAAATATAATTTAAAACATGTAAATCTTGGAAATGTTAATTAGATTTGCAGGATCTGTTAAAATTATGAGCTGCCAAACATTTTTTTAATCAAGAAAATTGTCACCAGCTTTCTTGTCTGTGGGAGGCCAGACAGCTGTAAAAGTGTTATAATGCATAACATTATTTTAGGCCATTATTCTTTAAGTAGGATGAGCTTCAATATTGACATAGATGTTGTCATATTATTCAGATGAAGAAAGTGAACATTTACACAGCCTGTGACCATGCATGCTAGGCTTTACTATGTTGTAGTCAACATATTTGAAATAAACTAGGTTAGACAAGACTGACCTAAGAAGTGATGGGTCTTGATGGGAAGAGATGAAAAGGCCATAGGAGAGAACACTAATAGACTAAGTACTTTGAATATGTGAGTGGAGATGTGTAGGGTAGAGCAAATGAAGGTTAGAGTTGAATGTGTGAGGATGTGAACATAGCAGTGGCATTATGGAGAAAATATGCATGCAAATTTTAGATTTTTTTTCTTTCTAATAATATGTTTCTTCTTTCTTACACTTGTTATGATTGTTTGAAAAAGATAGGCAAACTATTTATTTACAAAATACCTTATAGTATTATTTAAACCTCATTTTGGTGTAGCTTCCCAACCTCTTGTTCTATGGCCCTCCTGGAACTGGGAAAACATCTACTATCTTGGCAGCAGCTAGAGAACTCTTTGGGTAAGTACGGAGTTCAGTGAAATTGAATGTGACTACGCATGTGTTGTTCTATTCATTAGTGTATCTGGCATGAACATCTTAAATATTTTCACAACACAGTAGTAATGGGTTCTATTCTGAATGAAACAATAAAAATATATATATTTTCAAGGCTGATGGTTGGCTAACTGAAGAGTGAAGAATTTCTAAATGTAGACATGGATGCAAATGCAGTATCTAGGGCAGTGATAGGAATGGTACCACAAACTGTTTTGAATTCTAGTGTCATCAACCCCAACCAGCAGTCTCCAGTGACTATGGGGGATGTAGTTCAAAACATGCTGTTCTGACCCAAGGGAATGTGAACCTGGGAGGCAGAACTAAATGTAATGGTGCAAGTTACAGTAGTGGGCAGATTTGGAATTTTGAGACCATAAAATTCTGCTTTATCAGAAAGCAGACTGATAGGATTGCTTCGCACCAAGTTCTCTGGTCCACCAGGATGATCTCTATCACCTCCATCTTTTTTCCTAGGGCACATTTCCAATGAACTATTCCTATTTTATTTTCTAAATCCCCGGGGACTGTATGGATCCCAAAGGCATTGTTGGAAATACAGATTAGGCTTGAGCTTGGTATTTTATTTGTGGAATGATGGCTCCCCATGTATTATTTTCATTAAAGACTTTAAATAACTAATAAAGTCAGGGGAGCATTAAGGGAGGTGTCTATAGGGCCCTTGATATTCCTAGGCATCAAGTTGACCCAAAAGTAACTGAAAAGTAGATATCACTTGAAATTAGCAGGAAGGTGTTTTGATGTTAACTGTCGTTAACTGATATCTACATTCCTGTAACTGAGCTTTCCACAACTTGAGCTTCCAGATATACTAGGACTACAAGTTCCAGAGTTGGGCATTTGAAACCCAACATATCTGGAAGGCACTATAACGAGGAAGTGTCAGCCCTTCACGGTAGACCAGGTCAGGAAACAGATACTGCGTGAACTATGGAACTCTTTTATTATTATCCTTACAAAGTATAATAACAGAATCTTGAAAGTCTGACAGATTCTCCCTCTTCCCCCCCTTATACTAAAGAAAATCAAGATGGGGCAATCTGGAATTTTTTCCTCACTCCCTCCTGTCTATCTAGGCTAAACTGATGTTTACATAAGAGTCGTATCTCTGTACTCTACAGAAAGGGTGCTATAGCAGTTAGCAGTATGAGAATTCAAAATGTGAAGCTGGGTTAGCAGTTCTGCCCAAGACATTTATTAAAAGGTACCTACATTTCTTTTGTTATAAATAGTCCTGAACTGTTCCGGCAGAGAGTCCTTGAGTTAAATGCATCTGATGAACGTGGAATACAAGTCATTCGGGAGAAAGTCAAGAATTTTGCTCAGTTGACAGTATCGGGAAATCGTTCAGAGTAAGCACAGTGATGAAAGCCACTCTGTCAGATTGTATTTCTCTCTGTTTCAGGTTAATATGAGTAGCTTTGTAATGCTAAAATAAGCCATGAGTCAGCACCACACTATAACTTTGAGGCTCTCAAATGATGCCTTAATGAGTCACCAGAACATTACAATAATCTGAGGGAATTTATCATTCACCAGCTGTATATATCTTTGCTAGTGTCTCCAACAGAACATGTGTAGGCACTGTGAAAGTAATGTAATTTATTAAGATACTTATATTGCATCCTCCAGTTAATTGAAACAACAGGTTCAACTGTCCCTTTGGGTAATTCCATTGATCAGATTATGATAATAGTCAGTTTTGGGGTTGGCTGGTTCCCTAGTCTTACCTTTGACTGATATTATCTGGTC